ACAAAGTTTTTGACTATAAAATAACATTTGATAGCTTGTTCAAGAAGATCTAGCTAAATGGTACAAGAAATTTGCATCTTTAGTAATTCATGGGAAATAAGGGGTGTGAAAAGATCTAAAATTGTTGGGATTATTTTGTTTATTGTGTTCATATCTAACCACCTTCAACTTTTAATAGTTATTTTCTGTTGTGGATTCCTTCGGTGTCATCTATTAGATCTTACTTAGAATCTCGTGTGTAGGAGATATTTCTTCTCATAGAACTTTTCTTGTACTTGTTCGGCATTTCTCTTATTTTATCTGTGTACTCTTCATATTTGAATGTTTTAGGTCTTATCCTCTAGCGGTAAATTTTCTGTTAGCTTCAAATATTGAAATTATACTCCATATTTTGTATAGACAGCATGATTTAGTTTTATTCTTGAGCTTTTTATTTTGATAATGATTTTTTAACAAATTATTTTATTGTTTTTTGCAATATTTATTGCAGCTACAACTACAAGCACTGATGGAAACCTTGAGCTCAACGGAACCTCATTACATCAGATGTGTGAAGCCCAACAATGCCCTTAAACCTTCAATATTTGAGAATTCAAATGTCATTCAACAGCTTCGCTGCGGTGTAAGTTTTGTTTTAATGATCAGTTACGAATGGCTAGATGTTTTAACTAAAACTGAATTATTTGACACATTTCAAAACCATACCTGTAGGGTGTACTTGAGGCAATTAGGATCAGCTGTGCTGGATATCCAACTAGAAAGACATTTTATGAATTCCTGCATCGTTTTAGTGTTCTTTACCCTGAAGTTTTAGACGGGAAGTAAGTTGTTGTTTTTTTTTTAAACAAAGTTGCTATGCTTGTATTGGGATAGTCTGATACTAGGATATTTATATATGGAAAGCTTTATTTCTTGATAGCTCTGACGACAAAGTTGCTTGCCAGAAGATTCTTGATAAACTGGGTCTAAAAGGTTATCAGGTAAGCAGAAGTATGCTTCATAAAAAAAACTTGTTAATTTGTAGTTCCTGAAATATAAGTCCCAATTAAGTATTACATCATGATGCATCAAGGAACGAAGCCTGAAATATGCACCTCATTCTGTGGAATATTGTACCATCGGACTTGAGCATGTGCGATAAAATTTAATTTCTTACGTATCATTATTAGCCCTACTGTGAAGCTGCTGTATGCCTATTTCCTAATGGTTAATCATTTACTTGTTGAAGCATGACTAGTTTAGTTAGTCCTGATCCTGCATTCGAAGGCAGCAGAACCTCCTTTTAATTTGTATTTATGAAAAGTCATCAGTGAGTTCCATTCTTCATGTGGCTCTACTAACACTCAGTTCAAACTGATTAGCTTACTAAAATGGCATTATGATTCAAGATGAAATTATGAAATTGTATAATAGAATGACTCATATTTAGTATAAAATTTCAGAATACCAACTGTATCCATGCAAGTAAACTGTTTCACAGCAATGTTATGTGGCTTGGTTTCGATCTTGATGTTATGTGGCTTGGTTGGGATTACAAAAATTTATTCCTTCATTGCTCTATGCGATTACTTCTCTTGCTGAAGCAGAATCCTTGTCTTTCAAAATTGGCTCATGCTGCCTGTCTTGTTACTTTCTATCGCAGATCTAAGGGCACATAATTTAATTATGTATTTTTTCCTGGTACAGATAGGGAAGAGCAAGGTGTTCCTCAGAGCAGGGCAAATGGCAGAACTGGATGCAAGAAGAGCTGAAGTTCTTGGAAGAGCGGCTAAAACTATTCAAAGACAAATTCGTACGCATGTTGCTCGCAAGGAATTTCTTCGGTTACGCAGTGCTGCTATACATTTGCAGTCTTGTTGGAGAGGTAATGAATCTTCTGCAAGGTGAACTTGTATTTAATTTAAGCTTTATTTACGTGCAGATCTTCTCTGAGACATGCTTCAATGAGCCATCTATACATAAATTCTGCCAGAACTAAGGAAAATAATTTAACATATTGAGCTTCTTTGTTTCATTGCTGCAGCTAAACTTGCTCGTAAATTCTACGAATACATCAGACGGGAGGCTGCTGCTGTAAAAATTCAAAAGAATCTGCGGCGATTTTCTGCCAGGAAATCCTACAGGCGACTTCGCTCTTCGGCAATTGTGCTGCAAACAGGTTTAAGGGCAATGAGTGCACGCAATGAATTTAGACACAGAAAGCAAACTAAAACTGCAATAATTATCCAGGTACCTTCTAGGGTGGGAGATGATGAATGACTAGCTGTATAATTTATTCCCCTTACTATGACTAGTGATGTTGTGATGTTACCTTCACCGACCACCTTTTTTCCTATATTGATTTACAGGCTAAATGGAGATCCCACAGAGATTACTCATACTACAAAAATTTGAAGAAGGCAACAATAACCTATCAATGTGCATGGAGACAACGACTTGCAAGGAGAGAACTCAGAAAGCTGAAGATGGTTTCTCCTTATACTCATTAGACTTCCATTTCAACTTTTTTGGCTTAGGATTTGAATGTTTTTAATGCCATATCTTCTGGATTTTCTAATGATGTGCGAATGGCTTATGTTACCTGGATACATCTGTAGGCTGCAAGAGAGACTGGTGCCCTTAAAGAAGCAAAAGACAAACTGGAAAAACGTGTGGAAGAGTTGACATGGCGTCTGCAGTTAGAGAAGAGACTACGGGTAATTTATTTTTTGATGGGATTTTATTTCATTTATTTTCCTTCAAAATTTAAATTAGATGTTTATTTTTGGATTATGTACACGTGATACGCCAAAATCTGAATGTTGAGAAAGATGTTTTCTTCTACTGCTTATGTTTTGGCATTGGACATGCAGATTGATCTAGAGGAGGCAAAAGCGCAAGAAATTGCTAAGTTACAGGATTCTTTGCATGAGATGCAGCAACAAGTAGAAGAAGCTAATTCCATGATTATTAAGGAAAGAGAGGCTTCTCGAAATGCCATCGAAGAAGCACCACCATTAATCAAGGAAACCACTGTTATAGTTCAAGATGTAGAAAAGATTAGTTCATTGACTGCCGAAGTTGAGAGCTTAAAGGTAGACCAAAACTTAATCTGACAGTACTATTATGGGTTAATGTTTTACTAAAATGAATTCCAAGTATTATACCATTTGACTGAGCATAAAGCCATGACTATATTAGCATGTTAACAAAGCATCAGATGCATATATCATCATGTCTTGTCTTCCATGGGCTATTGTTACCATTTGATTGTGTCCAATATGATTTTTTTTCCCACTCGTGCCTTCACATTGTTGTGATTGTGATGATTTATAGATGTTCGTCCTTGAGAACCTTTGCCCAAATTGGAGAAATCAAATTTTCACTATCTTTGCTTTGTAAACTTGTCTGTACAGCCTTAAGATTTAGAATGTTAATTGGTTATGAGCCTATTTGATTTTTTTTTATTGTATCCAGAAATCAAATTTCATTCTATCACAATTTCACATTAATCTACATTTTACAAATCATTGGCTAGGAATAAAGTAAAAATTGCCATAAATTTGGTTTTTAAATATTGTTAAGAAGAGTACCAAATCAACAGAAACTTGGATGGTAAAATTGTCTTGCATGGATTCTTTTAGTCCAAATGTTTTTTACTTCTTATTCTGCATCAGGCTTTGTTGGCCGCTGAGCGGCAGATGAGTGATGCAGCCAAAAAGGCTTCAGCTGAAGCTCAAAATAGAGATGTTGAACTCCTGAAAAAACTTGAAGATGCCAATACCAAAGTTGATCAACTTCATGATTCAGCCCAAAGGTAATTTTGTTGGCCAAGAAATGATATCTTATTTCTTGTTTATCTTTATTATATCAACATGATGCAAAAATTGAGTGGCTTGTTGATGAAACATTGCATTTTTACTTGTGTACTTGTGAAATCATCTATAATCCTTAACTTTCTTCAGTTTGCATTATTTAAGATAAAAACTGTCTTTTACTATGTTCAGGCTGGAAGAGAAGCTCTCCAACCTTGAATCTGAGAACCAAGTGCTTCGCCAGCAAGCACTTGCAATTTCACCCACTGGAAGATCTTTGTCTGCACGCTCTAGAACCATGATCATCCCAGTATTTTTTCTGTTTATACTGTTCCTTTCTCGATATATTTCATTTTCAGGCTGTCTTCTTAGTCTCTTATATTTATATGCTAACAGAGAACTCCAGAGAATGGCAATTTATTTAACGGTGAAACAAAATTAGCATTGGTGAGTTTAAACATATTGATTTTGCTGTGCATCTCTGGAATCATGACTTAAAGCAGATTGATAAGGTGTGCATAAATTGTTATAGGATATGACTCCGGTTGTAGTCAATGCTAAAGAACCTGAAAGCGAAGAAAAACCGCAAAAATCTCTGAATGAGAAGCAACAGGTTTGTTTTTGACTTTTTTCTTCTCATCTAAGGCAAATATAATTTCTTACCTTAATGTTTTGCACTGCTCCACTTTTTGCATGTTTTGAGTTTATAATATTCTTAACACAATCACTTCATGGCGCAGGAATATCAGGACTTACTGATTAGGTGTATTACGCAAGATCTTGGATTCTCTAGTGGAAAGCCTATTGCTGCCTGTCTTATATATAAATGTCTTCTCCAATGGAGATCATTTGAAGTTGAGAGAACCACTATTTTTGACAGGATTATCCAAACAATAAGTTCTGCTGTGGAGGTGAGTTTGCCTTCAGTAAACAGCGAACTTGGTAGAGCCTTTGAACTGTTAGGTGAATGCTCAAACTTTTGAATATTTACTGAACGTTCTTTGGCTTCTGCTATTGATAGGGACAAGACAATAACGACATCCTTTGTTACTGGTTATCAAACTGTTCAACATTGTTGTTACTTTTGCAACGAACACTAAAAGCTAGTGGTGCTGCAAGCCTTACACCACAGAGGAGGAGACCATCATCAGCTTCTTTGTTCGGAAGAATGTCTCATGTAAGAAAATTATCCTCATAAGAAACATATACTCTATCCATGCACTTAAAGGATCTATCATCAGCTATTTGTTATTTGTTTTGGTTTTCAATTTTCGCTAGGGACTCCGAGCGTCTCCACAGACTACTGGGCTTCCTTTCTTTAATGGAAGGATGGTTAATGGACTGAATGACTTACGTCAAGTAGAAGCAAAGTACCCAGCTTTGCTCTTTAAGCAACAGCTGACAGCTTTCTTGGAGAAAATCTATGGAATGATAAGAGACAACTTAAAGAAGGAAATATCACCATTGCTTGGTTTGTGCATTCAGGTTTGGTTTTCAATTTGTGTTTGTGCATTTTAATTGCACTTGAATAGTTTTAATATTTTAAAATTGTTATGATCTTGTAAGTAGAGCTTGTCCCAACAAATCCAGGTATTTTCCTCCACCGGAGACAAATTTAAACCATTTCTGTTTACTGCATCGAACAGTTTTAAAATTGTTATGATCTTGTAAGTAGAGCTCGTCCCAACAAATCCAGGTATTTTCCTCCACCGAAGGCAAATTTAAACCATTTCTGTTTACTGCATCGAACAGGCACCAAGAACATCCCGGGCAAGCTTAGTTAAAGGATCACGATCTCAAGCAAATGCCATGGCTCAGCAAGCTCTGATTGCACACTGGAGAAGCATTGTTAAAAGCTTGGATAGCTATTTAAAAGCATTGAAAGCAAATTATGTGAGTTTATAGCAGTGAACCATCTTATAATGCAGAACCGCTGCCCAAAAAGCTTATTAAATGTTGCTATTTTTGTAGGTTCCTCCATTCTTAGTCCGTAAAGTGTTCATTCAGATATTTTCATTTATCAATGTGCAATTATTCAACAGGTATGATTATATTCCTCCTCTTGCTTTTCTTGGGATATTTTCCTTCACCATTTTTTTTCAAGGGAATTTATACCTTATTTATATTATCATTGTCATTTCTTTAGTCTTCTTCTACGGAGGGAATGTTGTTCATTCAGCAACGGTGAATATGTAAAGGCAGGACTATCTGAGCTAGAACATTGGTGTTGTGCCTCAACCGAAGAGGTGAATTTATATCTTATTTATATTATCATTGTCATTTCTTTAGCGTACTTCTTTGTGCCTGATATTTTGTTCATGCAGTATGCAGGTTCGGCGTGGGATGAATTAAAGCATATTCGGCAGGCAGTTGGGTTTTTGGTATGTTGACTTTATACATACTTCTTTGTGCCTGATATTCTGTTCGTGCAGTATGCAGGTTCGGCTTGGGATGAATTAAAGCATATCCGGCAGGCAGTTGGGTTTTTGGTATGTTGACTTTATATATGTTAAAAATATTTATTTATTTCCCAATCATCGTTGCTTATCTATCTGTATTCAACCATCTAGGTGATACATCAAAAGCCGAAGAAGACATTGAAAGAGATAACCAATGATCTTTGTCCAGTGGGTGACTCATCTTTATATCCCATGCTGAAATAAATAAAAGCTTATTATACTCGTTTTACTGATCTATTTGTTTTAATTACAATAAGGTACTAAGCATTCAACAATTGTATAGAATCAGTACTATGTATTGGGATGACAAGTATGGCACGCATAGTGTGTCTTCAGAGGTAATTTATTCAATTTAAAAAACTATGTGATTTGAGAGTTTTTTAAGAGAAAAGTGTCAAAATACTCCCTCGACTCTTTCGCAGGGAGTCATTTTAGTTTCAGAGTTTATAATAGTGTCCATTTAATCCTGTCTCTTTTAACATGGGCTGAAATAATTCTCAAAACGGACTGTTTTAGCTTCAATTTGAACAGCCTGGGATTAATTTAACACTTCAATACTCTGGGATTAAAATGACCTAGTCGTGTAAATTGTCAGAGGACTATATTGACATTTTACATGTTTTTTTTTCTGACTTGTGTTGGAATGTTATACTTTTATGCTTTTAGGTTATTTCAAGTATGAGGGTTTTAATGACCGAAGACTCCAACAATTCAGTTAGTAGTTCCTTTTTGCTGGACGATGATTCTAGGTAAGAAAACACATCTTTCTAAAGCCTAGTTTTAACAACATTATAGGAATGTGCAATTTACATCTTTTATCTCCCTTTTTTTTTTCAATAAACATGAAGCATAGGTGGATGATATCTCCAAATCTATGGAACAAATTGACACTTCGGATGTTGACCCACCACCAATGATTCGTGAGAATTCAGGATTTTCTTTCCTGCTCCAAAGGTCAGAATCATAGTTTTAAAATATGATGGATCCAACTCCTTTCAAGATGGGACTCCTCCTACACGTTCTCCACAACTTGTGCATAAGTCCCCCCTTTTCTTTCCATGTAATTATTGACGACTCTATTCTTATGAAGTTGGTTGGTCTCATGGATTCCAGATGAGATTTATAGGGTTTTCTCCTTTTCTTGTTTCCCTTACTGTTTTTATTATTTTATTAATTGATTTTTTTGCCCCTTATTGTAGAGTGGTCTTGTCCGACCTAGGTTTTAATTGTAAACCTGGGTTACTATTGCCTTGTGCTTAGGTCTTGGTCCTGCTGTTGCTGAAGGCAACCACAAGTGTAATTTTGTTTGGTTTTCAAACTTCTTTTGTAAAAAAAAAAAAAAAAGGTAGTTATAAGCATTAATATTAGTGGCGTCTATTTAGACCATTACTAATCTCTATTATGTATAGTAAAATTTAGAATATTATTTTTTGCATAGGTGCAAGCAAATGTTTGTGCTTTCGGGCTTTCGCTAAAAATCAGATTTAGCTATTGATGGTTACTTAATGAGAAGTTACTTTAATCTTTGTGGATTATATGTTTGGTGTATCAACAACTCTCAGAAGTATTTTTTTTTTAAACTGGTTGTTTGATTCATAGTTATTAAGATACTGGTGCTGCAGAGATTTTATTACTATTGTCATGCCATGTCTTTGTTATCTATTAAAAACTGCATATTTTCCTTATTATTATGTGGTTTGTGGTGGAAAGGAGAGTAATTTTGAACAATACTGTTTGTAATAGAAGTTATTTTGAATTGAAAGACAACTAGATGCTGAAAGAAGTAATGGACTGATTTTTCATGCCCCTCTTCTTGTGTTCCTATTTTTTATGTACTAAAATCGGTTGTGGATATATCAATCATTCAATTATGATGGTACTAATTGGACCATTATACTGATAAATCTCGTTAATGTGTTTTATTACACTGCATTTTGAATTTTCTTCCAAGGCATCTTACTAGGCACATTACAAGTGTTGAAATAGCTAGCTTTTGGAGCGATGATATAGTGATTTGAGAAGGAAATTATTTTGATCTAATTTGATATATTTTGAGGTTAATCTGAACATGTGCTGTGTAGGCTGCTTTATATTTGCCTTTCTTATGTTGGGCATACCACATGCCGCATAAATTTTTGAATCGCTCAACTTTAAAACTAATTGAAATATATGTTTTCATGCATGGTGGTATGTATGTAAATAATGTCTGGGTGTTAGATATGTGAATGCATAGGAACTGAGTGCTAGTGCTATGTGTGTAAATCTTCCAATATAATTCGATGTCTCTTCCTCACCTTGTTACGAACTTCTCAACTTCATTAGCCTCGAGAAATCCCTCCTTGTCTCTGTGCTTATAATGTAAATGCCACTTTTGAAGGGGAATGATTTTTGAAAGTTTCCCGCAGACTCCTTCCAAATAATGGATATGAATCTATTATTTTAAGGAAATTAATTGTGATCGGCAAAAAACAACAAGTCTTTGTTCCATTAAGTGGGGATATCTACATAAATCTATTTTTTCCGTTGTGTCATATTTAGTATTCTCCATTGTGTCCTATTTAGAAAGATGTCTCGTCGTTCTAGATCTTAAGTCAAACTTAAGACATTCATTCTCTTAATAGGGTTTAGGGTTGGTCGATTTTTAATATGACCAATCATTTAAGACAACACTCTAATTTTGTTTGTCGTTAGAGCTATTCCAACCCTTTCAATGATATATTGGTTTTACATTTTGTCTTTAGGAGTCTCGAGTATACTTTTATAAAATTTTCCTTTAAAATCTCGAGTATACTTTTGTAAACATAATAGTCTCAGTGCATTCCTTCACTTCAACCGTCCAATTTATTTTCTACTAATGAAGGTCCCATCTATATCACCATCACTTAGAATAATAGACCCTAGATGATTAAGGGCCCGTTTGGGGCAGTTCATAAATGCGGCGGAATTTTTGAAAATGTAGTCTAACCATTTGGTTTGTGCGTTTTTGCAAACACTGTCTACTGCGTTTGGGTTTTTTACACTAAACGCAAGTCACGGATCGATCTCAACAGTCGACCCGGGGGCCGCGTTTCAGGATAAACTGTTTATCCTGAAACTCACAAGCTAAAGTCACAAGCTGCCTCAAATAGATCCTAAAACTCTTAATTATCTAGTTGTAAAATGGACTTGCATCTATATTTGCATCTAGTATAAGTGGGAACATTAATTGGATAAGTGGATACATACTTTATTTTTAAAATTGTTCTATGACAATGATTATTTTACAATCATCACAACTAATAATTAATTCAAGTAATAAGAATCATCTTCTCATGTAAAAATTTTATATGATTGTTCAAGGATATAAATAACTTTAAAAAAAAAACAAACCTTGACCTATTGTCAAAATTATTTCACTATTTAAATCATATAAAATGCCAATAGTATAAAATCAACTTTTAAAGTTTATTTTTAAAAAATCTATAGATACTTATATCACTTTTCAAAACCATCAAAACATATTTAATAAATTTAATTTTAAAATTCGATGAGCAAAGATGATAAATTTTAGCTTACTTGGATCCTTGAGAATGGTTGGCTTGATGAGTTTGTCACAAACATGGATTGACCTTTTTGACTTACACTACGTGTCGTGATGGCACAATCTCAAATGATTATCTAGTCAATGACTGAGTGAACTTAGGATTGCTATGATATGATTGATGCATTACAACATTTGATCTTTACAAGTTATTTGGCTACTTTCATGTGCTTTGATTAGAAGATGTAATTTCTCTTTTATAGATAACAAAAGCAAACAAATTCTTTGTTTTTTTTGTAAGAAATATATACTAAATGACACAATAAAAATGTTCGGATCTTGAATTTAATGTATATTAATTATTAACTGCTTAAATGGTCATAACAAAATTTATGCATAATAATTAACCTCCCTTGTAGTTTTATTTTTTTCTATTTATATTTTAACTATAAAAACTTTACAAATGGGCTAAGATAGAAGCACAACCCTTGAACATTACATTGTAACATTGAACAATACATCCAAATCTATATGACATAAAAGACAATGAATAGGAACAAAGAAAATTTATGACTTGTACCTTATGCTCATATTTCTAGTTTTTGGTAATTCAACTTTTTTTTATAGAAATAAGGGTTGGTTGCTCTTAATAAAAGTCTATATGATTATTTTATATTTTTCTACTAGGACTATTCTGCAAAATTTAGTTCTACACAACTTATTTATGCCACTTTTTATTTATTTATATTTATAAAGTTAGACATGTTTATGCTTGTTCATGATTTATCTAGAATCATATTTTTGATAAGTGAATAAAAAATTAATGTCAATAAATTATTTAGTATGCCAATCAACTCGAATCAACATTAAAAGAAATCATAAAATTAAATTTATATTGTTTTAAGATTACATTTCTCATGGATTATTTTCACTTTGCATTTTTATGAAAAAAAAATTCAAAGAAGAGTCTTCATCTGCATTGATTCTAGCCAATGCACTTATAATGGCATGATCTAACTCTCTCACATATAATTAAAATACTTAAGGATATTTAAATTTATATGCATTCATGTTACATTGGTGTTTCATCCATAAACAATTTAATTATATTTGCTTATGTAATTGTATAAAAATATGCTTAGGTTATGAAAATATCGATTCAAGTTATATAAGTCTAGTTCAATAGTCTGTCTTGGATAGTCCAATCACCCATGTTCTCTCTTATATATTACAAAACTCTTTACTCATTTAAAATCTACTAAATAGATTTTCTATCTAATAAATTTTGCCTCCTTAGCTTTAGATCATAAACCTCATATGGATAATGTAATTTATGTGTATTAATAATGTTTATAGGTTGCATTGATTTCTTTCACAACTAAGGGTGTATAAAGTTATTATTTGAGATAATATGCATGAAATCTTGATCATGTCATATCTATCTTCTTCTAACTTTCTTACTAGCAGTTGATATCCATTTCAATCCCCTTCGCTCTACTTGGTGTTTTATTAAGGTCAT